TGTTGGGGCAGCCCCCCCGGGTCCCGGGGTTCCCCCCCTTTTCCCCGGAAGGGGCCCTTTGGTGATTTTCCAGCCCATTTTTCCCCCCCCCCCCCCCCCCCCCCCCCCGTCAACAACGTCGAACATCCTCACCGCCAAACATTGTTTTTTACGCCACAACTGGCCAACTCGACTCGGCAAATACGACGACTTGGACCGATCGCCTTTTTCGGCGTTGCGCCCTCTATTAAAAAATGGTTGGGCGGAGTATTCATACACAGGGAGAGGATCGCACCATGGACTACCAATACAAATAGGAGACGTTTGTTGTTGATCCTCGCCCAACGCGTCACCCACTAGTAACCACTTTCGCTTGATGACCGACGTGGGCCATGTGGAGAGGTGTGTGCGATCCGGAGTCCATCGTTCAGATGCCCACATGAAACTGCCGTATATGCGGTCAGCGTCTGTCGTTGCCTCGACGTACGTTTCTTTTCGTTGGTTGCGTGCGTTGTTGAGAAAGAGCATAGAGCTGATCCTCTCTTCCTCGCCATGATGTCGGTGGCATGCATCGGAGATTTTTCGTTTTTTTTTTGTTGGTGGCCCTGGATCGTGTCAGCATAATATTAATAATAGCTCCTCGGACAACACCCTCTAGTAGAGCTGTCACGGACAACAAGGTTACAATATTGGTTGTCGTTTGTCCTCGCCGTCTTGTCCCCTGACGATCCTATCATTCTATGCCCCCTCATGGCGGTGGTGCTACGCGCACTCTCACAGGCAACACCTAGAGGAGCGCGAAGAGTACGAGAAGAAGTTCCGGCAACAGGTGAAAGGGCTAGGGTTATTGCGTGGCGTGCCATCCCCAGTTCTCTCCTTTTCATGGGCACATAAGATCCAAAGCTCGAAGGCATGTACGTAGCATGACTCGGGGGGGGCGGGGTGGGTTGGAAGGGCGTCTGATTTTTGCTGCCGTCTCCCTTCCCGTCCCCATCAAGGCCCCATGTGCCAGCGCGCGGGTCATTGGCGCGTCGCTCCAGCCTAAGGCGTTGTTGTTGTTGTTGTTGTTGTTGTTGTTGTTCTCTTCACACAAAAAACCGCACCGGTCTCGCTCAGTGCGGTGTAACTTGGACCTTCTAAATGTCCGTACCGGTCCACCCTACATTACGCAGTCCAACCCCATTCCTTTCCTGTCACACCCACTTCATTTTCCTTGGGCGTGACACGCGTATTTGCCGCAGCTCGCCGAAATGGACCGGATACAGCACAGCTTGAAGCAGCTACAGGAGGCGCACATGGTGATGAAGCAGCAGTACGAGGACGAGATAGTCAGGCTTCGCCACCAGCTTGAATCCTCTCACCCGCTCAAGAGCGACCCAGATAGTCGTGGGGGGGGAGCGGTAAGAGGACCTACTCCCTGCACCAGCCGTTGTGGGCAACCGTAGTGCACCTGTCTATCATATGTTGGCGTACGCACTCTCATACTTCTTTGTGACCCTGCCTGAAGATTTGATTGCCAGGGTAAGCACCCCACCAGCCTGATGGCCGTGCTGTTGCACCTGTTGTCGGGGGGATATTAGCTCCTATTTATCGCGGATGGACACCATGAACGACACGGAGAGAGACGTAGCACGTCCGGTTCATCAAAAGGACCGTTAATAAATTTCCTCCCCTTTTTGCTTGCCCCACATGGCCCTGAGCTTTGGTGATCCCGTTTCCGAGCCCGCTCGTGCGTATTGCTTGACCCCGCCCCCCCCCCCCCCCGAAGAAAAAGTATACCCACCCTAAGAAAAAAGAAAAAGAAGATAGACACATGTCCCTGTGGCAAATCGGAGGAGAGTAGACCCCACATAGTTGGGGAGTGTGAGTTGTACAGGAAGGAAAGAGAGGATCTCTGAGGAGGAAATGAGACAGAAAGGGTGTGACATGGACAATTTTGGTAAATTAGACAACAGCGAAAAAACGATCGCGATAATTGGGGATAGATGGTGGGCACAAGAGGCCCTAGAGAACGGGGATAAGATGTGCAAGAAATTTTTATGGAGTTTGTGGCAGAAACGTAAAGAGCTCCCAAATGTTGGTGGTGTCTCTAGTAGGGGTAGGAACGGTGCTCCGTCTCGAAAGGGACGCGTGGTCAATGGTCAAATGACTACGGCAAGCAACAAATGAGTACGCCCCCCCCCCCCTGGTGTGCCGTTCTGTACCTTGTCCGCGTTGACCGCGTCCACTTCGTTCTGTTCCCCGTCCCGACAGGGAAGCTCGGTACAGGGCGTGAGCGGTGGCATGAGCATGGGCTCCACCGGCCCGAGCCAGTCCCACAGTAGCGGCCCCCCGCACAAGGGCCTGGGAGGCATGCCGGTAGGGGGTCCGCACGGCCTGGGGTCCCCTCGGAAGCAGCCTGGCCAGCTTGAGCCAGGGGCGGCGAGCCTTCGTGGGCCTATGTTGACGGCGCCGGGGGCGCAGCTGGTGGGAGGGGGTGGTATGGGTGCGGGGTCAGGGGTCGTGCTGCCCGGGATGGCGATGCGAGGGCGGGGCCACGGCGAGGATGACTACGGGGGCGGGAGGGGCCAAGGGCCAAATGGGCAGACGCTGGAGCCTCTGAGCAAGCGACCAAGGTGAGCGGAGTAGCTTGAGGTTACGTACGTCGAAGAAATGTGTGGCAGCCGGTGTTTGTTGGATGCCCTCAACCAAAAGCTACCATCTTCGTTGGGGCAGGGAATATTTTTTTCGTCCTGTAGGGGAGGGGAATGGAATGGTGGTCGAAGGGGAGGTAGGTGGTTATTGTCAAGACGTTCGTTCGTGTTTCTGATTTTTTTTCGTCGATCGGTGTTGAAAGAAACAGAGCCGCCGTAGAGCCTCAATCTGACGTGCTCATCCTGTCGCCATACCAGATGCCTCAAATTTACTGCCGGAGCCGACCCGTCGTTCAGCAAGCTGTCTGTTTCGTGTTGAGATTGTACCCAATCAGGTCCAACCACGTTGCCGCACCCTGTCGGCGCCCAAGGCGTCCCGTCCGAAAGCCCTCTAATTTCCACCCGTTTGTGTCGATGACCTTACGCTGGCCCAACCCGCTTTGTACGTGGCAACACCAGGCTGGCAGACCTACAGGGACCCCCCGGTCCCTTGCCGCCGCACGTGCTCCACCCCCCACACGGCTTCAGCCAATCGCAACACCAGCAGCACCCACAGCAGCACCAGCAACACCCGCCGCCGCACCACAAGGGCGGGTTCTTTGGAGGACGCCCGGGAGCACCCCCCGCCGCCGTTGCCGGCGGGGGGGGCGGAGGCGGAGGCGGCGGTGATAACGGTGGTCGCCGTCCAGGTGGGCCGGAAGGGCAGTACAGATGGCCCGGCGGTTCGGGTCCAGGAGGGGGTGGGGGCGGTGGTGACAGCGGCGGTGCCGGCGGCGGGGGTGGCGCCGGGGTCCCTGCGATGGGCCCGGGAAAACAGAGGCAACTTGGCCCGGGGGGGGGGGGCGCTCCGCCGAGGGAGTTATCCTCGTCCACGGGGAAGGGGGGTGGCGCTGGCGGCGGCGGCGGTGGGAATGGGAACGGAATGGTAGAAATTCCGGATGCTATCCCGGCGGAGCTTAGCTACCAAGTGAGGTACGAGGCGGAGGAAGGGGAGGGGGGGCGAGCGGCGGCTGCCAAGGATGGGCTTGCTGTGGAGTTGGCCAAGTCTCAGGATTTGAGGGTGAGACGCACAGAGAGGTTGGGTGGGGGACTTGTCTAATTGTGGATCGTCGCTCTTTGTTGAATGGCCAAGGCTCAGGATTTGAGGGTGAGACGCAGAGATACGTGGGGGAGGCATCCACATCCACACGGAGAGTTGGTCGCCGAACCCTTGGGGCGTGTCTATCGCTATGGTTTGTCGCCCTTCGTTGAGTGCGGTGCGATATAGAGCGGGCGAAGGTCGCTGAATCCTTGAGTCGCGGCGGATATGTACGGAGCGGGTGCGAGGAAGGGGAAGGAGAGGTTTCCGCCTCTGGCGCACAATACACGTGGCATACCGATAGCCTTTTTTCTAGCCGGGGCGTCGGTTTGCCACAGAGGGGTGTGGTAGTTGTTGATTCATGGACCCGCCTTGAAAGCGGTGACACCAAGAGGTGCACGTTTGCCTGTCGTATGGCCTACTGCCTGCCACGTTGCCGTTGCTGTTGTCGTCTGACTCTTTGCGGTGTCTTGTGTGCGCTGCAAGCATGTCGAATCGTTTGGGTTCCTTTCCGCCACGCGCGGCGAACTAAGGATTGTCGCCGGTTGTTGTTGCGCGTGTGGGCACTTGCTTCTTCCGTCCTGTGTTGCATGTCCGTGATCTTGCTACTGTAGAGCGTGGTGTGCTGCGTGAGGTTCAGCACCGACGGCACGAAGATCGCGGCAGGGAGCCACTCGTGCGTCAAGGTCTTCGACGTCAACTCCTTCAAACAGCTTTACGTCTGCCGCAAGGTATGTGTGTGTGTGTGTGTGTGGGACACGGACGGACAGCGGCGACACACACGTCAGAGAGATGCACGCGTAGAGGGGAAGAGAGGCCAGGCATTCGGACGGAGAAACAAGACAGGCCGATACATTGAAGACAGGAGACAGAAACTCTCGTAGTGCAGCTGCGCCATGTTTCTGTTGAAGATGAATCAGTTTCGTCGTCTTCTCCTTGGAGATATTCTCCGTGTTTGTTGTCGAAAAATCGCTGCGGGCGCGTCAATCTCTTGGAGTCTACGCCTGGCAAGTCACTGCTGACAAGTATGACCTGCACAGGCCTGGTGATGATGGTTGCAGCGCACGTTCACCAGTGGCTTCCTAGTTCCGTTGTACGAAACATACGCCGCATGAGACCACCACGAAAGATGAAGTATGATGTAAAATCTTCCCTGGGTGTTCCCTTGTCTCCCATTCGAGGAAAACATAATTTGTCGTAGGAAGCATACGGAGGAAAGTTAGTTGTTCAACACACGATACCTACAAAGACGATGGGACCTAACGATCGGGACCCCTGAAACTACACAGAGTTCAAAAGACACACAAAGAGAGAGGGCCATTGACTTTCTATTCTCAGTTTTTTTTTCAAACGTGCTCCTCAAACGTGCCCTTCACAGTCTAGTCCCGACTTACTTTGCTTGCCCGTTCGTGTTTGTGTGTTTCGAGCAGCAAGTGCAGGAGGAGCAGGGGGCACCGCAGACGGCAGATGGTGGGGACCCCTACGTCCGCGCGGTGTGCTTCAGCCCGGACGGGCTGTCAATTGTCGCGGGTATGGAGAAGAACAGCGCCAAGGTGCTGGTGCTAGAGGAAGAAGGGGGTCGGCAGGGGGCGATAACGCTGTCTGGACACGAGGTATGCATATGGCTGTTTGTTTCTGATGAGGGTTGGTGGGATGTTTTGTTTCCCCACGCTAGACTTTTTTTTGCTTGCTTACTAGGGAGGAGTACTTCCGAGGCGGTGTGTGTTTCCGCAAGCAGAGTTTGGTGGCTTTCGTCTTCCTGTCTCACCATCGAGCCGCTTCTGGTTGTTCGTGCACCAATAGAATTGACATCGCCGCAGGTGGACGTGTCAACCGATCGCTAGTAGGATTTTCGCCAAGCAGTGTATTGGAGGCTTGCTCAATCGATACCAATCGCGGCTATTCCCATTGGATTGGTTTTGATGCGTATCGATAGGCGATAGGCATGGTGGGACCAAGAGGTTGGACAATGATTTGGATCGATACCTTTTATGATTAGGCAATAGGTGGCGGTGCAATTGAGCAGTACCTCGGGACATTGCCACCTTTAGGTACGCAAGCAGTTTATTATCGATTGGCACTTCCATACACCTATGGAAACGCCCACTAGGTAACGATACGCCACCCCCAGTAGCTCCACAAGTACAAGGACGTGGTTTACATGTGCATGTCTTATCCCTCTTTCTCGGCTCATCTCTCAGCTTCCATATTTGTTGGATCTGGGCATACAGTTAGCCGCCTGCGCTCCGCACACGATGCGAGTACAAGCGATCCAGGGAAGCCAAGCCAGCTTCTTGATAGGTTGATAACATCAGGCAGCCAAAGATGGTAGTCGAACCCCAACATCACACGCATTGTGGCACCCACCCAGACAAGGCAAGTCGGCAACAAATCGCCCCACACCCACCTACCCACCAACGTGGCACCACGATCTAAACTAACTAACCGACAACGCCCTCTACCCCGATGGACGTTTCACTTTTTTGTTGCCACTTTGCATGACATGGCATGGCGGACGGCCTGACCTACCAGAGCGAGGTGTATTCGCTGGATTGGGTTTCCGATATGATCGCCTCGGGGAGCGGGGACGGGCGAATCCGTCTGTGGGACTCTGTCACGGGAGCCTGCAAGGCATCTCTGGGAGATATGGGGGGCCCGCAGGATGGAGTGACTTCGGTCGTTCTCAGACAGGCGAGAGATCGGGGGGGGGGGGAGAGGGGGAGTATGTTTGCTGTACTGTTTCTATGGTATGAGAAGTGACTTTGACGTTGCGTCAGCTATGTTGAGACCGTTGAGCACCGCTACGGTTAAAACCACGCGTGATTGCACGCCCCCTAGACCGTCTTTGGTAGCTCGATTGCTCCACAAACAAAAGACGCCTCAAAATTCCGAAAAGTGCAGTGTTTCGAATATCTCGTCGAGAGCTTTCCTTGTGCAAATCGCTCGCTTATCGCACCCGCTTGTTTGTGGTGCACTCGAGCTTTGAAAGTTGGTCTACAGATAGCGCAACCACTTGAGGACCTGTTGTTGGCGTCATTGTTGTTGGATGTCTTCACATACCAACAGGAGATAGGATACCGTATTAAGTAGGTTCTTGAGTTATTGACCAGAAGAACAGATGTATTTTCTCAAACGAGTACTGTCTCTCTGCTGTGATTGTGTGCAAGTGTTCTAACTACAATTTTCTTCAACGTTCTTCCTTCTGCTTGATTGTTTGGTATATAACGCAGGATACAACGATGGTAGCGGCTGCCTCGATAGACAGAGTGGTCCACGTCTGGTCGACCCAGACGCACAAGATTCTCCACCGTCTTGACGGTCACTCGGAGTCCGTCTACGCCATCACCTTCTCGGCGGACGGAAACAGGCTGGTTTCGGGAGGGCTGGACAAGACCATCAAGGCGAGTGCCGAAATGGTGCTCTCGATGATGGTTGTGCGGTGTGGTATGGCGTCGACCGTGCTAACGAGCTCACGAATGAGAGGATCTGTCTTCCGATTGCGGGATGTTGGATCTCGAAGTAGATACCAGTCATCGGGCTCCCTCTGAACCTTGAATATTGTCTAAAACAGAAAAGAGTATATGCTGCTGTACTTCCGTGGAACCTCGTCTAACAACGAAAAAAAATGCCACCGTCCGTCATTTTTTTTCTTTCTTTTTTTTTGCGTGGATTATTTGCCAGGTGTGGGACCTAGGACCCGGTTCGGAGGGGAGGCTGTCTCCTCAGGCCAAAACGCTCCCCGGTGGGCACAAGGACTATGTGCTTTCGGTGTGCTTCTCGCAGGACGGCAAGTACATCATCTCGGGATCCAAGGACAGATCGGTCACCATGTGGGATGCCAGGCTGATGAAGCGGGTGAGAGCGGCGAGGGGGGGAGGTTTGACTGTTTGGTATTGGGTGGGTTTGTTTCGACTTTTACTTTTTTTCAGTTCGACCTCGTAGGGGCAGTGCGGATGACGGGAGGCACTGATCAGCAGTGATCGAAACGTCTTTTTGTTTGCGAAGGCGACAAAAAGAAGAAGAAGCGGCACAGCGGTCGCACATGAAACGCCCAAAGAGAGGCCCACCTCTCACTCCACATGCCCCCTCCCCCGTCTCGGCGCAATGATC